AGGAATGTGCACGCCAAGGTTTCACGAAAATCCTCCAAGTAAGAGCTATGCCTGCCTCTGGCAATAGTCTCCCTGCCGGCTTGGCTGGCTTTTTCCTCTTGCTCACTGTTTCCCTTGTTTTGCCCTGGTCTTACAGACAGAAAGAAGAGTCAACGGTTTATGAGAACTTGGGGAAAAAGGAGGAGAAGGTGCGGAAACAGCGCTCCTCAGAGAAGAAGCTGAAAGGCTCGCTAAAGAAAAAATAAGCATACGTTGTAGGTAGCCCCATGGGGGTTTGGAACCTGGGGTGCAGGGCTGGAGCTCATGTCCAGGCTGACCTGTCTCGCATTCCTTGCTCTCGGACTGGAACTAGGCCTTCCCTTTCTTTTCCGCGCCACTTTTCAGTGCCCTGAACCAGACTGCTTTCCAGCTCAGCTGACTGAGTTCATTGTCCCTTGCCTGTGCAGGCCAGAGAAGTCTCCTGCTGCCCCTGCATCATTCATTAACAAGAAAAACAAAATATAAAAAAATCACACCACTTGTTTCCCTTGCTCTCTGCCCACCGGGGCCCAGACTCACCTCTGGTGTGCCAGCTCCATCTGACTTCTTGAGGAAGAGCTAAGGAAGTTCTCTACAGGAGCTACATCTCTGCCCACTGCTGAGAGTTAGAGTTTAGTTCGTTAGTGTTCCCCGAAGCCTCAGCTTTCAAAGTCTGGAGTTTTTGGCCCATTTCAGCTCAGCTCCTCTGCAATTCAACAGGAAACTTCCTCCTGCCTTAATACAAACCTATACTCTGTCCTATGATCCCTTTTCTACTTGATGCTTTGATTGGATGCTGTAAATATACCAGAATTTGATGTGATGGCCATGTTTTCTCCTTTGTTTGTAAATAAACCTGTATTTGTTTGAATGCTGAGTCCCAATTTTTTTTTCTATATAATTTCTCTTTGAGTATAGCTGTACTGGCTTCAGTTGCAGCCCTGCAAAGACTTACAGGAACTGCTCTAGCTTAGTTTTCATCCCTTCCTGCAGCTTTCAGACTCCTGAACAGAAGCTGCGACCAATTATGGTGACTCCTTGCTGTGAGACTCGAGTGTTGGTCGCTGTCAGGTAAGTGAGCACAAAAAGTTAGCTGTGACAAACTCAGACGCAGGGTTTTGCACTTAAATTTTGTTATTCAGAAAAGTCGTCCTCATGCCTCCAAATCATTAGTCATTTTGTCATCTATCTTCTCCGTCTTTGGTGGTATCCAACCTTAGCTAGAGGGTGAGGCGTAAGGGCTGCTTCAGCGAACAGCCTGACTGCTCCTTCCTAGATACCACTTGGTAGAAATGAAACTTCATCTTTATGGAGAAGGTAGACCATAGCATGGCCATATTGTGGCTTCACAGATACTTGTCAGTCACCTACAAGGAGGGACTAAGGCAGCTGGATTGTTTATTTAGTCTGATAAAGAGGAGGCTGAGGGCTAAGCTATTCTCGTAGATCTACAACTACGCAGAGGGGTGGTAAGATGATAGTAGTGGCAGATAATAAAACCAGAGGCAACGGTCCCAAACTGCAGCTTGGGAGGTTCAGGTTGAACCACTTAAGTGCTGTCATCAGACAGCATTCAAACAGATGCTCAGAGGGGGAACTCTGTCCTTGCAGGTTTTCAATACTTGAACAGACAAAGCCACAGCTGATCTGACCTAGTGATGGTGATAGCACCACTTGCAGCAGCAGCCTGGACTAAAGACCTCCGGATGTCCCATCCCACCACTATTTATATGACACTCTGAGTGACAGAGAGCATTTTTTAGCACTGGAGCCTTTCCTTGGTGGTGTTAGAATGGGACTCAGCATAGTTTTTAAAGTCTTCCCCGTTAAAACTAAGCCCCAGTCTGTGAACTGTACCCAGGAACCATTTGGGAGAATGCTGAGAGTTTGGCTAAAGCCACCAGTTACAGAGTGCAGACCTGAACCTTTCTGTGGCAGCTGGCTTAGATCCCAGAGAACATAATGGGGAATCCTTAATTTACGGGTACGGATATTGCTTAGGCTGTGGACATTTGCTACTCAAAGAAAAAGATGGCTCAAGTGTCCTGGACTAGGACCTGATTAGAGCTGGTGTCGGGAAGAGCTCACTCCCACTTAGGAAAAAGTCTGAGGTAGGTCACACAGTGACCTAGAATCCAGACCAAGAACACTTGGAAATGTGGGACAGGGGATTTTGTCTGGTCTGAGCCACATCTAGGCCCCATGTGGGAAGATAACTGCACTATCAGCTGTCTGTCACAGGACCATACTTTAAAAGTCCAGCTGTAATTGTCCTCTGCTTTGGCGCGGAGATCTTAGGACGGGGCTCTCTTCTCTCAGTTTCGAGCACAAATCCAGATGGGGGAAGGGGTAGAAAAGAAGGAATGAGACGTACCTTGAACTCCGTTCCATGTAGCTCATGGCAACAGCCCACGTGCCTGCAAGGGGACAAACCTGCCTGACAGCCGGCGAGGTGAAGCAGCTACCAGTCTGTACAAACCAGCTGGAAGCAAGCGCTGCCCGCTTGTAACCCTGCCACCTGCCAGAGGACATGCCCACGCTCATGCATTTTCCAGGAGGGAGCAGGAACCCCATCAGCAAGGTGGCAGCAGGATGATTTAGGCAACTTTACCTGAAGTTCTCTGCTTCGGTCTGGTGCCAAATGCATAAACAGAGCCGGCGGCAAGGCCGGACAGTGCACAAAGGAGTGGGCAAGCTCTACAGATGCCGCAGTGATTTCAGCCACGCTCACAGAGAGAACAGGATTCCCCAAGCCGATACTGCACGGCGCAGGTACAGCAATAACATAATTACAAGACGAAAGAACTGATCCTGTCAGAATAAGCAACTTCACCCTATGTCTAGGCAACATGAGGGACAAATCACAGCGCCAAGGATAAGTGCCACGCGCTGTCCTGCGCATACTAGAGGGCGTTCTGCCCCTTCTTGGCTGCAAACTGTGCCTCAAGCAAGCAAAGGCAGAAACAATGCCACAGTGGTAGTCCCATCCTTTTTGAGCTCATCAGCTGGTTCTAGAGCACCCGGCTAAGAAAGCTGCCTGGGATAACGACACATACCTGAGACGCAATATACTGGGAGGAAGGACACTGCTTGGAAGGTCACTTGATATGGCAAGAAACGTGGTTGCAAGCGTTCAGAAGATACTTTGTGATCAGACCCTCTTCCCCATCTGCTGGACTTCAGGTTCCAGTTGACTGGAAGCTAGCAAATGTTACTCCAATTTTCGAGAAGGGCAAGAAAGGAGACCCTGGTAATCACAGGCCTCCCACTTTCACTCTGGCACCTCGTAAAATTATGAAGATTATTCCGGGGGTTTTTTGAAAAAGACTCGCAGGGCACAGTCAGCACAGGTTCATAAAGGGAAAGTCACACCTCACTAACTTAACATGATAAGGTTACCTGCCTAGAGGACAAAGGGAAGGCAGCAGACGTGGGGTTTTGGGGGGTTTTAGCAAAGCTTTTGACACAGTCTCTCACAGTATCCTTCTGGACAGTTTGCAGCATACAGCTAGAGGTGTACACAATACAATGGGTGGAGCGTTGGCTGAAGGATCAGGCTGAAAGGGTTATAGGCAATGGGGTTACATCAGGCTGGTGGCCAGTCACTAGTGGTGTTCCCCAGCGTTCGATTTTAGGGCCAGATCTCTTCAAAGCTTTTATCAATGACCCAGTCACAGGAGTCAAATGCACGCCAAACTCGCTGACAGTAATGAATTAGGAGCTGTTGATTCCCTCAAGGGAGACAGAGGCCTTACAGAGATCTTGACAGATCAGCTGCTGGGCAATCACCAACCATACGAAATTCAACAAGAACAAATGCCAGATGCGGCACCTGGAATGGTTTAATCCTGGATGTATGTACAGACTGGGGGACACAAGGCTGGAGTACAGCCCCGCAGAAAGGGACCTGGGCATTTCGGTGGATGGCGAGCTCCACGAGTCAGCAATGCGCGCTGCCAGGCAAAAGGGCCAACACAATCCTGGGGTGCATTAGGCACAGTACAGCTAACAGGTCAAAACTCAGCATTGGTACAGCCTCACCTGAAATACTGTGTGCAGTTTTGGGCTCCACAGTATAAGGATATAAGAATATCAGAATGTGTCCAAAGGAGGGCAACAAAGATGGTGAAAGAAGCCATGACTTACGAGGAGCAGCTGAGGACACCAGGTTTGTTCAGCTTAGAGGAGACTGAGGGGTGCCCTCACTGCTGCCTGCAACTCCCTTGTGAGGTGAAGTCAATCTCTTCTCTTTGGCGTTCAGCAACAGGACATGAAGGAATGGCTTAAAGCTGCATCGGGGGAAGTTCAGATCGGGTATTAGGAAAAAGTTCTTTGCTGACAGTGTGGTCAAGCTCTCCAGGGAAGTGGTCACGGCCCCAAGCCTCTCTTCTGTTCAAGATGTGTTTAGACAACACTCTTATCCATAGTTTAACTTTTAGGTTGCCCTGCGTGCAGTGAGGAGTTGGCCTCAATGATCTTGTGGGCCCCTTCCAACTCAGGATATTCTACGATTCTGTGAAACCTCCAAGTCCTAAATTTAGTATAGGGCAGCCCGGTGAGGCAAGGAAAAGGCCAGTCCCTGAAGCAGACGAGATTTTGCCCTTGAAATCCAAGCACAGAAGAGAGATGAAGCAGTGAGGGAAGACTTCTCCTGTACTTTTGGCCAGGAAAGCAGGAGAGAAAAAAAGGCGTAAGAATGGAGGTCAGGACACAGTACATACATGCTGCTGTGACACGGGAAAGCAGGTAAACCTCTGCTCATGTACGGGCAGCTAAGAAACTGGCCCTGGTCACCCCTGCAGCTACATGAGCAACCTCACCTGCTCATCCTCTCCCTGCCCCACGATCTCTCCCCTTATTCCTTTCCCCACGACATCCCAATTCTACCTTCAACGAAATAAAAGCTCTGTTCCACCTCCCCCTATGGAAAATAACCTCTTTTTCCAGCACTAAGCACACTTAAGACACAGTATAAATTTGGGTTTTTTTAATTTTTACAAATGTTTGAAAGAATCACTGAGCAGACAGTGACACAAATAGATATTCCAGCAGTGATGGGAACCCAATGAATGACATTTTCCTGAATTGAGTCCCAGGTTCTCTTGGGATCAAGAGTGAAAGAGAAACAAAATTTACTAGAAAAAAAGCCTGGTGCTGATGGCAGCAGAACTCCCTCACTTGGCCAAAAATATATTCTGATTTTACCCTACAGAAATCTAAAGATTAATGAAGGTTAGAGGTGAATTACTATATCCACATGGGTAAATACCTGTAAGCATCCTTGCCCCCTCCCCAAATTTAACTGGCGTGGCGAGGTAAGGATTACAGCTGCCTAGTGGCAGAGCCCAATCCCGTAACTGGATCACCACAGATGGGGCAGGGGCATGGGAACCAAATCTGGCTACTGGATTAACAACTTCAAAATGAGGGCAAACAATGCTAGTGGAGGGAGTTCAAAGTTCCTCACTCGTTATCTTCTGCTGGTCAGCGCCGGTGGTTCTAAGAGGCTTCAGTTTCTTTCATTTCTTCCCTTGTTTGAGTAGGAGACTGTCACTGAAAGGGAGAGAGGCGAGTCGTTAGTCCAGAAAGCACAAGCAAAACTGAACCAGGCCCTCACTACAGACCTGGGGCTGTGGGCTGTCACACCTAAAGGACCTGGACTTCAAGTCCTTCCTACTAGGTACTTTTTTCAAAGCCCCTCAAGCCTTCTGGGATGAATAAGACAGAATCTGGTCAGAGGGAAGGAAGAAGGATCTCACAATCAGAGATCCCACGGAAAAGAAACCACCTCTGGCTTCCTTTTGTGATTCTAAGAAATCTAAGCTTTTAGCTGCATGCTATTAGCTCAGCTGGCACTGCCTTGTCCAGTAAACACTGGACAGATTTCGCAAAGCCACCACACTCCTGCCAGCTCTCAAAGCATGGAATGGGGTTTTCTAGCATGGACTGGAAAGCTTTTAGAGAGTAACAAGAGCATCTTTCCTAGAGATCATTAACCCAAAGCAACACAAACTCCTATGCTCATCTGTCTTCTTACAGCCCTCTTTGCCACAAATGCAGGATGCTCTGTATACGTGGGACTGATCAGAGGACCCTCCTCAGTTACTCCTGCTTTCCGCATGCAAGGTTCCTTATGGAACACACAGAGAGCTCCAATTACTGAGTATCTCCTACTTTATGTAGGAGTTGGTGTGGCCCCTGCAAGGAAGGGCTTCAAGCTTCACATCAAAAATTCAGAACTGCAGTAGAGATAGAATAAACTTCCTGCGGCCAGAAAGGCCCAAGCCAGAAACATCCCAGGCACCAAGCGAACATCAACACTCTTGTTCCAAGTACTAACGAAGGGATCAAAATAAACAGTGCCTTACCTCCCTCTGTGTGTCAGGAGATGCAGTGAAGGGGGGAAAAGGAGGAAGAAAAACAAGAGTAAAATGATTAGATTTAACAAGAAATCTCAATTTCCAAAGTAAGACTGCTCCCTCCTTAGCTGCGTCCTCTGGCATCAGGGTCCTCTCAGAGAAAAGATCCCGAGAGAGCTCCAGAAAGGGGACCAGCTTCACAAGTCGGGTGCAGATAAATCCACCCACAACAGCCACCTTTACCTGGTGAATCCCTCATCCTGCAGGTTCAGTACCAAGTTATCTGCTGTGAGATACACGCGGTTTTGTGAGGCAGCAATCTGAAAAAGAAATCCATTACAGAGATGGCATAAAGAAGAGTATAAATGCACATGGTTGAACAGTACTAACGCAGAAATCTATCTCCCCCTCCAGATACAGCACTCTTGTTTGCATTCACTTAAGATCTCAGTTAAGTCAATGCAATTCCCCAAAAGAACTCTAACTTCCAGACTTCTTATCCCAGTGCCATCAGACTTTCTAAGAGAAGTGCTCATTCTGTCTCCCCGTCAGACGGACCTTTGATCCCACGCTTAGCTGTCCCCTTTCCTCAGCCTGCAGGAAACCAGGAGCTTTTGGTGGCTGCAGCTGGGCCTGGGTGTTGGAATTTGATGTGGATCTAGCCTTGTCATATGGAAGGCGTGAACTCCTAGCCTCACATCTAACTGCTGATCACTGCAAGCTAAATCTTAAGCTCTATTTGAGCAGAGAAGGACTGGGCAGGAACAAAGACCAGGACAGGGCAGGTCACATTCGCCTTAAACTCATCATCTGGCCACTGGGCTGGGAGGACAGCACAAGGACTGCAGAAGGACAAAGGAAATTCTGTGCCCCATTGCTCACCGTCTTTGAGATGTTTTGAGCAGCTCGGATCTTACGTAGCTTGATGTAGCCTGGATTCCTGCTAAGAGCTTCACCGAGGTACAGGGGAGCAAAAGTTAAGGAAAAACATGCTAACAGAAGCCACCTGCCCTCAAGGAATTCTTCCCAAGCCATATCATCAAACATCTTAGGGGAAAGGGCAACCTCTATCCCAATAGCTTGGGCCTTCGGGGAGGGATATTTTTACTTCCCCATACCAAGAACAACATTATGGATTATGGTCACACACAGCCAATAAAAGTTAAATATTGCAACAGGGAGCTCACGGCCTTCTCCGCTCCGACCTGTAACCTCTGACAAATCTCACTCTAGCCAACTGCAGGGGGTGGGGGGTGGGGAAGGGAAATAAATGACAGCGACCTACTGGAAGCTATCATCTGATAACAGTCTCCTAAGCGTGAGCCCAATGCGACAGATTCTCAGGCCTGTCAGGCTCACAAGACACACCCCACAAAATCTCCCAAAGCAGGATATCATCTTGGCAGCCGTCGCTTCCCCTTCAGCCTGAACAATCTTCTGCTTCTGCTCCTGCTTGGCCTTCTCCACCAGAAACTGTGCGCGCTGTGCCTCCTGCTGGGCTGCAGAGAGAATGGCCGAAAGCATTGGAAACAGATCCCATCTTCTGAGCCCTCCACCAGAACCCTACAGCTGAGGCCTGGGGCTTCACTTCCGAAAGAACAGATAGCATTCTGGGGCAATAACCGTAAGTAAAAAATGTATCTGAGTGTACTTTACTTTTCCACTCTCTAAACATAATCCACATAGTAAGTGATAAGAGTCCCAGTACGAGGAGGAACCCTACAGTCTTCGGAACTCAGTCCCACTGATGGTATATCCCATTAGCTATCACCTGAAGTTTTCAGAAAATACTTGTGAAATAACGTGTTTGGCTCCATTACTAAGAAGGTCGAGATGTATAAGTCTGTAGCTGTAACAACGCAAAAGCAGCTACACGCTAGCCCAAATTCTGCTGCCTTGTTTAATAATTCAATAAAAAGGCAACGGTGATCCGCTCTTC